ATATATCTATGACAATTTAAAAAAAAAAGAGATAAGGGAGAGAGAGGCAAACAAATTTATAGTGGTTCGGCTTCAACTTGGCCAACGTCCACTCCTCAAGTTTCACTTATGATTTTTCACTACACTCTAGCTTCATAGGGTGCTAGCAACATTTTCATAGATGGAGCAATCCTCCACAGATTTTACATAGACTTTCTAAGTCAAGAACACTGAGGCTTGGTTTGGCAAGTCCAAAATAATCCAAAAAGCTAAAAAGTTACACAAAAAGTAAAAAAGTCATTACTATTAACAAATTAAAAATATTAAAAAAATATTTTATATATTTTTATAATACAAAAGTTTGATGGATACTGTCAGCCGTACTTGTGAAGCAAGAAGGCCATTATACACTTTTTGGGGCCAAAAAAAAAAAAATACATATGTAAAGCCACAAAGTTTGATTCAAACATTGGGCCCTTGGGGGCCCACTAAGGGTTCCGTTTTGAAAATCCGAACCATTCAATATATAAAAATCATCGAGTAATATATGTTTGTAAAAAATCACATTGATCGGATATCGTTAACTATATGATCAAATCAGTTTTGTATAAACAAAATGGATGTTGTGATAGTTAACTGTTAAAAAAACTAATCCGATCATATAGCTATCGATATCCAATCAACGTGATTTTTTACAAACATATAATACTCGACGATTTGTACATATTGAACGATTCAGATTATTAAAATATGACCCATGATGGCCTCCACGAACTGACCATCACTGTCCAAAAACTTTGCCCCGAAGGAGGCAATTGTTTTCGGTGTAAGACATCCTGGGCAGCAGGCAGCCATACAACCACTCAACTTTCTTTCACTATACACTTTATTTATACAATTTTTTATTACACATTTTTTCGTAAAAAGATAAAAAGTTAACCCAAATATCTTTTTTTTTTCCTCAACTTTTTATTCTAAAAATTCAAAAAGTACACTTATTTAGGACACCCCAAACAACTCCTAAGTGTATTACACTCTTACAAGGTTGAAAAGAATGGGTTTTTGCTTTCACAAAAAACTACAAGAATTATCTCTCAAAGATAGATATAAAAATGAGACTCTGGTTTTTCTGTAATCTTCACACAGGAAAGATGAGCTTAATGTTATACGACTTAATGTATAATTTCTAAGAGAGGATGTAAACAAAAATTGAAGAACACTTCTCAAAGAATTATTTAGAGAATAGATGTGAGTGATTATAGATTAAAGAATATTTTTTGATTTTTTTTTTTTTGGTAACTTGTTTACATTAGAGGCTTTGGGATATATAATGAAACTTATAACCGTTTATAGCTATTGTATTCATTTGAATTTATAGCCGTTGTATTCATTTGAATATCTTTCACTCCATCATTACTAATTTGAATATCTACAATTCCATCATTACAAATTTGAATATCTTTCACTTGAACCTTGTGAACCTTTTGAACTGCTGTTGTGTTGGGCTGTTTGAACATCTGTTTTTTGCTGTTTGAACTCCTGATTTAATCAAATATTAAATACATTCTAACAACATTTAGGATAAAGGTTTAGGTGAAAGATAATGGGACAAAACAAATTTTGATTCTATTTTTCTCTTTCAAATAAATTAAAACATAATTAAATAAATCATCAAAATAAATTTTGATTCTATTTTTCTTTTCCAAATAAATTAAAGCATAATTAAATAAATCATCAAAATAAATTGTGATTCTATTTTTCTCTTCCAAATAAATTAAAACATAATTAAATAAATCATCAAAATAAATTGTGATTATATTTTTCTCTTCCAAATAAATTAAAACATAATTAAACAAATCATCAAAATAAATAAGTCTAACAAGAATGAACATAAATTTTTGAAATAGAGTCTAAATAATGATCAATGTCAAAAAATAAACAATAAGTCCCAATAATTTCAATTGAGATTTTAACACAATCGGTCTGAAAGTAATCGTGCGTCGAATTAAAAAAATATGAATAGCCATTTTCTTTCTTATGAGATTGAAAATCTTGAACAGACTCATTTTCTTTGAGTGGCGATTTCTTTATATCCTTTTTCTATAAGGACTGTCCCTTTCTTTTTGGCTCCTTAAATTAAAAGATCAATAAATGATATCTCAATTACTTAAGTTTTGTCTCTTCTTAAATAAACATACTAGCCAATATAAATGACCCATACTGAAGAGATAAATAATTCAAAATAAATTGCACGAAAACAAACTCATTCACAAATATTCTTAAATTCTTTAATTGTACAGTCAAATTAGACAATTCAATAACATACTCATACATCTCATACATACCATCAAATTTTATGATGATAAATGTAACCATAAGTGTCCTAGCAAAACACTTATTAGCAGTTTATAAACGTTCTTTCACATTATTTAACATTATCAATTGAAGGAAGTTAAAACTTAATATTTGTTATAATCATTTGCATAAAAACATAAACTTTATTTGTTCGATCATTTTATACTTTATGCAAAGTTTTTTCTTTCTTATATACTACTTAAATCATAATAGTAGTAAATTTCTTAAATAGTAACACTAAGTCAAAATTCAAGACATCAAGATGAAACTGAGCTTATTTTATTCTTTTTGAGAAATCTTTTTTCATTTAAAATCAAAACAAACAAAGTATACAAATATAGCGAAATAAAACTTTAATCAATAATTTATGCTCACAACATTAATGCTAAAAGTAATCAATAATTGACAATTAATCAAGATAAATACATGTCTAAACAATCCCAAATAGTATTACCATGATCTACCTTTGGGATAATCTAATGATATACTATTTAACAATTATGACGATTCCATTTCACCAATGGGACTAGTTGATAAAATATTCATAATTAAGTAGGTCCGTTATCTTTGAATATTCATTCCAATAAATATCCATCAACTATCCTATTTTAATTCAACAATTACTTAGAAGTGGTGTACCTTTGGGCCAACCTAATATCTTTGTAATTAAATAATTGCGATTTGCAAAGTCATTATTTTTTAATACTTAGGAAGAGTTTTAAATTTCAATTATTTTATTTGATATTTATGTGTCATTCCGATTAGATTACTTTGGCAACTACCAATCGTATCATAATTTAAATTTCAAATCACAATAAAAATTTTGCATGGACATTATTGAATAAATAATAGTTTATTCACAATTATTCATCGTCATAATCATAATGCATATTATTAAATCACAAGAATAATATTAAGATAATAAATATTAATACAATTCATATTCTATGTCACATAAAAATATATACTTTTGTACCTTATCAAACCACCTATAAAAATCAAGCTTATACATAATGGTGATAATAACATCATACTGAAATAATTTTTTAGAAGTTATAGTTAGATCCATAAATAACAATAAGCTTAGTACTATAAAGATTACAATAACACTTTAATGTGCCTCAAAGTAAAATTTGATAATATAAAATTCAACAAAACATGAATAATAATGATTCATTATGTAATACGAATATCTTTAGGCATTACTAAATCAAACAATACAGTGGTCATTATCCACTAAACTTTTTCTCATAATAAAAAATAATTAAATCATTCATAGTGTTCAATTATCAAAATATTAAAACATTCGGTTTATCATTAAAGAGCTAGCACTCATTAAATAAATATTATTTATACAATATGCAATCCAATTTAAAGTAAGAACATAAGAGTTGGATATTAAATTTCATATCATGTTTAGCAAATTGAAAATTTTTTATCGAGGCAATCATAATTGTAATCAAAATTAATTAATATTTACTTAATCAGAAAATCATAATGTTCTGAAACATGTAAATAATTTTATGGTGTCACGCATATAACAACCTTCATAATCCAAAATCGTGAACTATCATGATTTTCACAAATAATAACTTAATGCAGAAAATAAATAACATACCCGAATAAGTTATGCGAAACCTTCAAGTGACCCAAAATTGATTAAACATAAATCTAAAAATAATATTAGTTGAAAAAGGGTTTCTCTCTCTTGACCCTCTTTAGAATACATTGAATTCAGAATAATTGATGGATAATCTGAATGTCCTTTTATAGGTAGAGAGAGGACTAGTTTCCTTATTCAACAATGATTACACTTTCCTATCAAAGTAGGATACTTCGAAAATACTCTTATTTATTTACCAATTAATTGTAAATAAAAAAAAATATAAAATCATAATGCTGCCAAACATTACAACAATTAACACTTTTGCCGACCAAAAAATTGGTCGCTAAAAGCCCATTTTTGGTCGGCAAAAGTTATCCGCGACCAATTTTCTTGGTCGCTACTTTGGTCGCCAATTGAGGGTCGGCAAAAGTAATTCGCGACCAAAATTTTGGTTGGTCGAGAAAAGTAGGATTTGCCGACTAAATTTTTGGTCGCTAAATATATCATTACCGCGACTAATTCATTTAGTCACTAAAACACTTTGGTCGCGAAAAGTGATATTTTCCCGACCAAATATCTTAGTCGCCAATTGACACATTTCGCGACCAAAAAGTTTGGTCGCCAATTGTGACATTCCATGACCAAAAAATTTTGGTCGCCAATTGTGACATTCCACGACCAAAAATTTTGGTCGCCAATTGTCACATTCCACGACCAAATTGTTTGGTCGCCAATTGTCACATTCCGCGACCAAAAGAAATGTTTGTGCAACTAAAACTTTAGTCGGCAATAGACCTATTCGCGACCAAATCCTTTGGTTGCCAAAATTAAAAATTTTAACGACTAATTATTTAGTCGCCAAATGTGCTTGGTGATACACCGACTACTTTATTTAGTCGGCAAAAGTATAACCTATCTTTCCCGACTAATCAATTGGTTGCCAAAACTAGAAAAACAAAACCAAATTTTGGTCGCCAACATCCAACAAAATAAACCTGTAATTTATAATAATCCATCCAATTTATTCAATAGAATCTGTAATTTGCAAAAATCATTCAAACCAACAAATAAATTGAATCATGAACATTCAACAAAATACATATATCAATCATTTCTGAGCCTATTTAATTAAAATCAGCAACTATTATAAGTTTTCATCCACAAATAATTCCAAACTACATATTTCAGAAAGGTTGACAATATGAAGACTAATTCATGAAAGGTTGACAATATTTCATGAAAGGTTGACAATATGAATTGATCCATAGTCTTCAATTGATCCATAGTTTTCTTTCAGACATCCAGTCTTCAACATTGAATTTTTCTTCAATTTTTAAAGCTCATCACTGGAATTGCTTTTGCTATTACTATACTCATCACTGGAATTTTGGCACTAGAACGTCCTCCTCATCTTCATTTGTACTGGTCTGCTCTCCCCTGTTAAACAACACCATTAGTTCCATTTCTCTGCAAGCTGAGAAAATACTTACAAAAATACATGATACTTTTCTCCAAGACACTGGACAACCAATAAAAGGGTAATTTTTGACAATTTTTTTGGTGCATGTCCGACTGAATATGTATCTTTATGTACTAGTGTCCTATGTCAGATACACTTTTTGTCGGTCAATTTATTTCAAGTATATATTCTTTTTGTTCAATTGCGAATAAAACCAGAGAAAATCAAATCAACAAGACATGGCTTGGTAATATTGTCAACATCCACTACAGATAGAGATCAAATCCAACTTCAAATGAATAATGATTAGGAGAGGCTCTCAACCTCTCTGGCAAAGCTCTCCAATATGGATGTCACTAGCATAGTTCACATGTAGTCTTATACAAATATAATTTTTTATAATACATTGGGTCATATATATAAGAGAAAACAAAATAAATTTCTTCATCCTTCAGTTGAAAATGGTCTTTCTATGGTAATTTAATAAACACAATGGAAAACGTTTAAGGCCCACAAAAAACTTCCCATAATTTGATCCATAATGATGTGACATAATTCATGTTAATTTTTGAGTTGTTATATACTCAATTGTGCAAGGCCTACTTCTCTTGCCACATCATTGTAGGTAAATTTAAGAATCCAAATTGTGGGTCTCGAGCATAAAGCAAAATAGCAACGCAAAAATAAGATTCCACACAACAATTCTTCTCTTGAAATCAGGAATGTCATTGGGTAAAGCTTTCATAGTTTTCAAATCCACTTCTCAACGGAAGCCAGTTTGTTAACTAACACTTTTGTTTAAAGACAACCGATGATATAAAAAATGGTCTCTAGTGTTTGATTTAAATATCCAACACTAATAGTTTGATTATTCTGTTTCTTTTTTAATCTTCTTCGATCAAAACAGTTTTCCTCACTTGGCTTTTTATAATTGTTTGTCCATTCAACTACACAATTCTACAATGGTCATTTAGTAACCAGAAAGAAGACGAATCCATTTCTTTGATTTCTTTAGTGGAATGATAAAGGAAAACCGTGGCAGCCTATGTAGAAATATCCACGTCAAAACACTAAGTAATTGTGTAGGGAGCTATGGCATAATTTTTGCACAAACTTCCTTCTCAAAATCATGACATATGTGTCAATTATTAATTATTTTGTGGGCAAGTATGACCATCAACGTGTGAACCATGAAAAATAAGAGCCAAGCAAAAAATTCTTACATTGAGCACTGTTTGGAAGCACCCCTGATGTTTTTAGATAGTTGTTTCACTGGTCTATAATTAATGGACATATTCCGAATAAATTTAAGCTGCATTTTCCATTAATCGAAATGTTAGAAGATTGTCAACAGCAGATCATAACCCAACTAATATATGGAAGAGAACACATTTAGTGAGCCTCTAGAGTAAATTCAACATAAATTTTTTAACAAAATAAATAAATAAATAAATAATAACAACATAAGAATAATTACCGAGACTTAAAAAGAAAAGGAAAAGTGAAAACTATTGAAGGTAAAAGACAAAGACAAGCTGCAGAATCAAAAGACCAAAATAGAGAGGATAATGAAACCACTAAACATAGCTTTCAGTTCACTGACTCATCAGCCCAGAAGTATAACTTGCCAGCATAAGAAGTCAAAGATGGAACCATCATTTAGCAAATCAAGTAGGTCATAAGGAATCTTGCATCATCAACCAAATGATACAAGAAATCTTGCATTTCAACCAAAAATTAATAAGACAACTTTGACGAAAAATGGATAGAAAAATTAGAATAGGCCTAATCTCAAGTGCCAAAATGAAGGAGAAGATGACATTAGAGAATCTAGGGGAGAAATACATCATTGCTCGAAGTTGCATAACATTAAAACATTACCAATAGTAGTTCTGTCAGCTACTTTTGATGTCTACAAATATAAGGCTTTATCTAGAAAGTTCTAAGACCAAAAATCAAACGGGAGAAAAAAAAAGGTTTAATTGGTGGTAAGCTCAAGAAACAAATGCCTTTGAATATTTGACAGGTTGTGTCAACAATTTGCAAGTAAAATTCCAATAAATAGGATAGGATACCAGTATAAACAAAGTGTAAGCCTACGTATAAAAGGGATAGATTTAAACAAATGGGTTAAAGAGAACAAGGAAACACTAAAAGTTACAAAAATGAGGCAAAAAGAATAAGGTGGGAGGGTTAATTTTGTTCAATAAGGTGTGAGGTTTACTGCATCAGTAGAACCAGCAAAGTATTTCAAGTTTAAGGCTCTATAAGTCAGGCTTTGGAAGCGATGAGGAAAACCCTCATGAATTTTTTTTTTAACAGGAGATGTGGCCCTGAAAGCAGAGCTTGAAGGAGTTGAATTTGATTGCATAAAAATAGTGCTCTTAAAAATTCTCTGTTTTAGCTGAAATCGAATTTATCTTTTACAATATCTAATTCAATCACTTTCAACATAGAAATGAAAAATATGCATTACTACCTGTTCAGTGAACAATTACTTTATGACTTATATTAGAGCATCTCCAATGGTCAAAGCCAAAATGGCTTGCTACAGTGCACTAAAACCAATTTTTGGCTACATCACTCCAATGGATACTTGCCATTTTGGCACAAGTATTAGCCAAATTCAACTATTCTGTGTTTAAGTCACGGAAATTGGGATGATTTTAACCCAACCCAATCAAATCCAACCTTTGGCAGCAAGATGGCTTTCCCAAACCTTGAGCCATATTTGGCTTAGGGTTTGGCTTTGCCATTTTTTAGCTAGAGCAATGGCACACTATTAGAGCACCAATTTTGTGAAGCCTAGCCATTTTTTGCCTTTGGCATGACCAATGGCACGACCATTCGAGATGCTGTCATACCTAGCATTTAGAAACTTGCAGAAAAAGGCCCACTAGTGATAGGCCCCAAGTTGTTGCTAATGTCATAATGTCCAACCATAAGAGATTAGGAAGCGTTTTAAGTCACATAAGACAAGAAAAATGACCTTCTAATCACAAATCACAAATAAACAAAGTACACAAAAGCAACATAAATATGACTAGTATGTAAAGCTAACCTGATCACCATCTTTGATCCCAAAGTTTCGAATATAAACCTTGTCATTGATAAGCTTCTGACCTTCATAGCACAAACAGAAGTCATGTGGCCTACCCACATCAAGTTCAAAGGTGGTATAATTAGTGGTGTAAAGCCAGAAAATTTTCCAGATAAAAGCATTATTTTTAGAAAAATCAATGAGTAGTATTTGGATGTCCCATATCTTGATTGAATTTGTTCTCCCCCCATATAATAAGAAACCAAATATTACTAATATCCTAATTCAACTATATTTCCAATTGAATCTTTACCCATTACTACCATGGCTTTGGTCACCTAGCAGAGTGTGAGTGTTGAATCTTTTTATTAAGCCCAATTATCAGGTAAGCTTCCCATAATTTTACACAAAGACTGGCTCAAAATTTATTCTAATAGGAAAAAAGTTAGATATTGATGTTCTTATTATAACAATAACAAAAGAACAAAGAGAGGAAAAATACCCAATATAATGACTAAGCTGACTTTTGTTGGCTATATCGTAGAATACCATATACGCCTATAATACCAGGAGGAAACACTGGATCAGTTGCAGCTCTTACAACAACCCATGCCACTGAATTCACGATTGATTTAATAAGTCAGATTGTTCACTTCTGTTCTCCTGCATGAAATGAACAGAGACATTTTTATCATGATAAAAATCCTCTTTCTTCTTCTTCACTAATATAAGATGCAGGTCCTCCTAAGGGATGTTTGGTTTACTCAAATGTTTGGTGATCTAGATCAAGTTGATCTGGCAAAGGAGAATTTTTTTAACTGTCACAACAATACAATAATGCCCAGAAACTAAAATTAACAAGCAGCATTGTTAGGCATCATTTGCTGAATTGTGCGCACACATGCATGAAAAGCACCAGCAATCAATGCATTTTCTACAATGAAAAATGATACAATAAGCAATTTGAATAATTTGTGAGGGGAAATCCTCAACCAGAGTTAACAGCATATATGCCCATTCAAAATCATTTTTTAAACCCCCAACCAAAAAGAAAAAAATAAAAAAACAGAACAGAAGAAGACAACATGCCAAATGGAAAAACAAAACTCTTCACAACCCTATTTTGCCTACACTTCTAAACTCTTCACAACCCAATTTAGGTTTACTTTCTACCTGATGAATACGATCCATCTTGGAAGCATCATATATTGCTAACTGTGTTTCATGGGATACCAGCAAACGGATTTGATCAGAGTGAAACAGCACTCGAGTGTCAACATTAGGAGCCTTCCCAGCAGGCAGTTGTATTGGAACTGATTTCCTCTTTTCCCATGTATCAATGCTCCAAATACAAAGCTGCAAATAAGGTTGCTATATTAGTACAAGTTCAGCCAGAATTGTCTTAAAACCATGAATGCCCAGTGCCGGCCCCTAATGGGCAGGAAAAGAGGAAAAACAAGGATGTGACAAGCTGATTGAGATCGAGAAATCTATGGATAAAATGAGGTAACTATTCAAGATAATGTAGGTTTCCCTATGTTTCAGGTTTTACATAAGATCAACTTGTATGTCCATGTGCTGAGTCAAGTTCAAATTCTTTGTCCTTCAAAGCAGATACTGTATTTAGAAAAAGCAACAGTACAGAGAAGGCTGCTTTTCCAAGTGATGATAGTTGAATGACAAGGCATTACATGTTTACCATTTACTCTACACCCCTAACAAAAAACCTTCTCATACAATTTAAAATAAAATAAAACAAAACATTACGGGGAAAAAAGAAAAGAAGAACGAAAAACATGAAGTGCAAATTACCTGAGCATCAGCTCCTGATGAAACCAATATATTAAGATTGGTGGAAAAAGCTAAGCCAGTTATGCGCTTTTGGTGACCTTTCAGTTTTGATTTTACCTATAGGCAAAGTATATCACATCGATTATAATTATGTAAGCAGTAAGAATATATGGAGGCACTCAAATAATGATAGGAAGCAAATTACCTCATCCACCCTAACATTGTATATGTGCATAGTGGAATCTTCCATTCCAATGGCTAAGATGTTGTTATCTTGAGGATGAAATGCCAGGAAGGTTGAAGCAGGCGGAGGTGGCATAAACGTTGTCATTACCTACATTTCAAAATAAATCCCACATTTAATCCTTTCATAATTCAAGTCTTTGATGAAACGAGCAACCAATTCATGCAGAGACATACCTTGAATGTCATCATATTGAATAGCGAAACCTTTCCACCACAAGCAGACATTACATAAGAGTCATTCTTTGATAGTGCTATGCATGGCACTGCTTCCTCAAGGTTGACACCTGTGACATCATTTGTCATAAGAAGACCACTGTTTGGTTGCCATTGTTGTGGAACAACATTGGCAGTGGCCTTTAAACCCTCACTGACTTCAGAAACCTCTTCTTTAGAATACCCACAAATTAAAAAAAGGAAACAGGAAACATGCAAGTACCAACTTTTTATTACCTTTCCATTTGGAATTTGTTCACTGCGGACCCACTTCCACAACTTTTGAATACCATTAGATCCAAGTGCTAAAACACCAACACCAGAATTTGTATAGAGTAGTCGAGCAACCTGGGTGTACATGTGTCCGTCAAGCATCATTTGGTAGATTAATATTATTATTGCCACAACAATAAGAAGTAAAAATTACTTGGACATACCTTGTTGGCTGCATCTGTGCTGTCTGGCATGGCAACCAGCCGGCATTGAGCAGGGTCTATGATTTCAGTCAATTGCCAGGGTTGCTTGTTTTTTTCAGTAACGTCATCCAAAGTTCTTGGTTTTTCCATGCTTCTGGCCATATCAACTCCATTCTAGAGGGAAAAGAAATCAACATAAAATCAGTTCCTTGCCAGCTAGGAACTTCCTATGCTGTTGCAGTACATGTTTCCAGAATAAACAAACACGATATTGTACATTATATAAATAAAAAAAAACAAAAACAAAAGGGAAACTACATGCAGGTTGGAGAAGGGGGAAAAAAATTATCAACATATGGGGGGTGCAAGTGTGGCTGTAGTGAAATGCAAATGAAAGGCTGCAGGGTGCAAGTGTTGGAAATTTTTTCCCCTTCTCACACCTACATGTAGTTCTCCCAAAAACAAAAACAAAAATCTTAGTCATTTTTAGAATCACTCTATTTTGGTCATTATTTAAGTTCAACTCCATGAGAACATGCTCATCATCTGACAAACGTATTTACAATTAAATAAGAGTTTCAACCAAAACGCTTTGAACATACTGTTGAATCGGAGATTGAATCGGAAATTGAGTGAATGCTCAATTCAAATTGTGATTCACTACAACTCATTGTGATTCAATTCTGTTTTTGTTTTTGTTTGGATAATGCATGAAACAATGTTGTTTTCACCTAGAGAGAGAGAGAGCAACTAGTTATATTAATATAAGTGGATATATATATATACATATATTTTAGTTATACTAACATTTATTTCATTTTATATACTATGCATGTAATGTACATTCATATACGCACATATATGAAATTATATATTACATTAAGTATGATTTGCGACTAGATATGATTTACTATTCGCTATTTTAGCAAATTGATTCACAATTCCATTCATGAAAGAATACTATGAGTATTTACTAATTAGGCTGAAGATGGTGCTCCCTAACATTTCAAGTTAACAGGTTTTTTCCAAAAAAATCCTGTAGCCCTTGCTAGATGTACTCTGATCAATCTTAGAAGCACTATACCCACATATTCTGACAGTCGTCTTTGGTATAAAATAAACCAGCCTAAGCTTTGTTCCTCATGCCACCCAACTCAAAACTCAAAAAATTAAAAACACACAAAAACCACACACACGGAAAAGAAAAACAAGTAATTGGCACTGAAGTATTTTAATTTCCATGTTCTTTTATCAAGCATTGAGTTTGATACTGATAAAAATGAACTCCATGCAAGAGAGCAGAATTCAAACCTCGAGCAGTTGGTAAACATGGCCAGGTAACTAATCAATAATGTGTCGTTGTATTCCTGCAAACAGAAGTGATGGGATCAAACATATGATCAGAAGTCGGCTGAATCAGCAGTTAAGTACAATACCTCTAAATGACAAATACGGTAAATCATATTAAAAATAACCTAATAAATTCCCCACCCTCCCTCTCTCCTCCACCCAAATACAATTAAAAATAAATAAACTTAAAGAAAACCAATTCCATTAGCAGAGTTCTCTAGCCATTTGGAAGAGGATAAACTAACTAAACCAAACACATAAAAATGATTAGTTAATGCACTAAAGAAATAATGGGCTCGTTTGGTTTGATTTTCTGAAAAAATTTTGGGAAATTTTCTCTACAAATAAGTTTTCAAAAATAATCAAACCAAACAAATTTTCTCAAAAAAATTTCCCAAAACTTGTAAACCAAACAAGTTTTCCAAACAAATCTCTCTCACACACATATCAAATCAATCACTTTTTTCAAAACTCTATCTCAAAATAATTTTCCAAAACATCTTTTAAAAAAAACCAAACCAAACATGTTTTCGTACTTTTTATCTCTAAAACACATCTCTCAAACACAAACCAAACATACCCAATAACTTTTTATTGGCCAAGGAGTTGAAAACACTGACCATCAAGAAATCATCTTGAAATTTCTCTGATTCAATAGCTGGTAATCTCCTCAAGAGACTAGAAACTTGTCTAAGCAAGTCAGATTGTTCACTTTAAATCAATTTGTTTGCAGTATAAAAATAACTAGAAAGCCAAATAGTACCTTCCCCTCATAATATCCTTTTGGCAGGAAATTTGCGAAACTAATTTCCTAAACCCACCAAATACCTTTCAGCAAGAACATTAAAAATATATTTAGACAATATTTTCCTATGGTGTACTTTTTCAGCAAGAACATAACAATGTATGCAAAAATAGGTGTAGATACAAACTCACCAGAGAAAGAGGCTACAAGATCTCGAGGATTCAAAACTAATTTCCTGCATTGAAACCTAGAGCGAGAGAGAGAGTAAATTAGGGTTTGATAAGAAGAGAGATCAACAATATAATAGAAGGATGGGTAATGTATGTGCCTGGAGGATGAGGTCGTCACAGATATCGGCGATCTTGTCGTAGGATTTGGAAGCCATTGCGTCGCTGTTGATCACTCACGACAGTTAGATCTTGGCCTAGGATTCAAATCTGATTTAGATTTCGACGATCTTCTCGGATCCGACAGAGGCACCAGTGGAGGAGGAGGAGGAGAAAGAGGAGGATCATCGACGGCGGTGGGTGTTTAGGAGAGAGAGAGAGAGAAAGAGAGAGAGGCACCTACGGAGGACGGAGGAGGATCATCGACGGCAGTGGGGATCTGCGGCGGTGGCCGTGGCGATCTGTGCCGGTGGTGGCGGTCTGCGGTGAGGTGAGGTGAGGCTTGGTGGTGAAGGAGAATCTGTGTGAGAGGTTTGAACAAATGATTGTAAACATAGAACAGGGGCGGTGATATATATCCCACGAAAAAAACATTTCACCTTTAGCGACTAAATTTGTTGTTGTCGCAGAATCTACGCATATAACGACTAAAATTTGGTCGGCCATTGTCTACCAGTGCATTTAGATATCAAAACGACGTCGTTTTGATATCTGCGACTAAATTGTGTTAGTCGCTAAAAGATTTTACTGTTCCCGC